AAAGACCCACGGACCACAGCACGAGACCCGCAGCAGGTGCAGCGACGCGGAGGAGGAGCAGACCACACGCAGCAAGACAGAGGACAGCAGGGACACATGCAACGATTAAGCGTGAGTAGACAAGCGATTCCTCCAGAACGGTTCTATGCAGGCTTCGAGAAGGCCGAGAATGGGAGTTCCTCCGCTTTTAAGCAGCTTGCCTGGCTGGACCGGTGATTGGAAGGGGGCGTTTGCCGTGCGATAGGCTGGGGATGAGAACCGGCCTGGAGAGGTTACCTTTGGCTGACGTCTACCAAATTGAACTTTCGCTGGCTGCATTTGTGATCCTGGTCTGTGAAAGGCGCTATACAGATAAACTTCACTTACTTACGTAGAGTCGGGTTTTTGTGAGTTCCATGAAACACTAAGTAGATAAACCACAATATACTTTCTCCATCCATCCATTTTCTTCCCCTTAATCCATTTCTGGGTCAGGGGGTGGCCAGAGCACCAGCCCCTCACTGATCCTCTGCAGGAGTCCACAGGAGGATGGCCGCTTTACGACACAGCCTTGATCTTTCAGCTGGGGCTTCAGGCAAAGTGGGGTTAAGTGTCTTGCCCAAGGACACAACGGCAGCAGTCATCAGTGGGAGTTGGTGGAGAAGGACTCACGGTGGACTCAAACCCACAACCTTCAGGCTCAAAGGCCAATGCTCTACACACTGAGCCACTGTCGCCCCTGCAATATACTTTTTACTCTTGTTAATATTCAACTGGAGCTCTGAGTAACGGACTAAACGCTGTGGTATTTAAGGACACGGACACAGACTATTTCCTGGAGTGAAATGTGAGTGGATAAGAGCAGGATGCAGGCGGCGGAGGCTGAGGGCGTTTACAGAGAGAGAGAGGGGCATGTGAGGCAGAGAGAGAACCAAACTCTGTGTCCAAGTTGTTACGTAACTTTACCGCAGAGAGAGAAATCGTCATAAAGACATTGCAGAATGAATCCTACATATATACATTTGATTTAGAGTTTTGCGCTACTGTAAATAGTGAGAAAGTAGATTATTAGTGTGAGCACAACATGGAGACACCTGATTTGGAGAATGGCACTGGCTTTGAGCAGCGTCTGCAGTCAGAGCTCTGGAAGTGCTGAGGTCATCGCAGCAGAGAATTCACACTTTTGTATTCGCACAGCTGTGAAACTGTCTCTGTGCAGTTCCACTCTGGAGGCTGTTTCTCAACGTTTTCACCTGAAACACCGTCTCCATGGAAACGAAAGGCCAAACCGATGTAAACTTTTTACTGTCATTGACATGTTACGCAGGTCCTGTGTGTCTCTGCTCAGACGACTACCCCCAGAACCCAGCCACAGATAAAGAAAAGTAAAAGAAAAATCAGCAGTTCAGTGTTCATGCATTTACACTGGTCCAGAGCAGAGCAGAGAGGATTCATGGTTTTACACTGGTCCAGAGCAGAGCAGAGAGGATTCATGGTTTTACACTGGTCCAGACCAGAGCAGAGAGGATTCATGGTTTTACACTGGTCCAGACCAGAGCAGAGAGGATTCATGGTTTTACACTGGTCCAGACCAGAGCAGAGAGGATTCATGGTTTTACACTGGTCCAGACCAGAGCAGAGAGGATTCATGGTTTTACACTGGTCCAGACCAGAGCAGAGAGGATTCATGGTTTTACACTGGTCCAGACCAGAGCAGAGAGGATTCATGGTTTTACACTGGTCCAGACCAGAGCAGAGAGGATTCATGGTTTTACACTGGTCCAGACCAGAGCAGAGAGGATTCATGGTTTTACACTGGTCCAGACCAGAGCAGAGAGGATTCATGGTTTTACACTGGTCCAGACCAGAGCAGAGAGGATTCATGGTTTTACACTGGTCCAGACCAGAGCAGAGAGGATTCATGGTTTTACACTGGTCCAGACCAGAGCAGAGAGGATTCATGGTTTTACACTGGTCCAGAGCAGAGCAGAGAGGATTCATGGTTTTTACACTGGTCCAGAGCAGAGCAGAGAGGATTCATGGTTTTACACTGGTCCAGAGCAGAGCAGAGAGGATTCATGGTTTTACACTGGTCCAGAGCAGAGCAGAGAGGATTCATGGTTTTACACTGGTCCAGAGCAGAGCAGAGAGGATTCATGGTTTTACACTGGTCCAGAGCAGAGCAGAGAGGATTCATGGTTTTACACTGGTCCAGAGCAGAGCAGAGAGGATTCATGGTTTTACACTGGTCCAGAGCAGAGCAGAGAGGATTCATGGTTTTACACTGGTCCAGAGCAGAGCAGAGAGGATTCATGGTTTTACACTGGTCCAGAGCAGAGCAGAGAGGATTCATGGTCCGAACCAAGTGGATCAGGTGAAAATTCTCTGTCTCGCTCTAAAGCCAATGCTCTACCAACTAAGCTACTGTTGCCCCAGTAAAACCAATCGTAAAAAAAACATTTGGTGTACTGAAAAAGTTTTTCTAGAGCTTATGAATACCATTTCCTTTCAATAGACTTTTGCATTGTTGTTCTTACAAAAAAAATCCGTAAACAAACCCCTCCTCACCTGATCTCACAGTGAAAATCCACTCACATGCACTGTTTACCTTCTCTCTTCTCTACTTATCACAGAACGCATGATTTAAAACTATAAAAACTCTCAGATCTGGAGCCAGAGCTTGTGTGCTTTACGTGGCCATGAAGGTATGTGGCCGCGCTCGGGGGCATCCAGGAAAAGAAGGATTAAACATCAAAGACTTCCTTGTTGCCTTATATGGTCCACACACCAGAGGAACTTCCTGTCACTGTGATGGGGGGAGGAGTGGGAGGAGTGGGAGGAGGTGGGAGGAGTGGGAGGGGTGGGAGGAGTGGGAGGAGTGGGAGGAGTGGGAGGAGTGGGAGGAGTGGGAGGGGTGGGAGGGGTGGGAGGGGTGGGAGGGGTGGGAGGGGTGGGAGGGGTGGGAGGGTGGGAGGAGTGGGAGGAGTGGGAGGAGTGGGAGGAGTGGGAGGAGTGGGAGGAGTGGGAGGAGTGGGAGGAGTGGGAGGAGTGGGGAGGGAGGGGAGGGAGGAGTGGGAGGAGTGGGAGGGGTGGGAGGGGTGGGAGGGGTGGGAGGGGTGGGAGGGGTGGGAGGGGTGGGGAGTGGGAGGAGTGGGAGGAGTGGGAGGAGTGGGAGGAGTGGGAGGGGTGGAGGGGGGGGTGGGAGGAGTGGGAGGAGTGGGAGGAGTGGGAGGGGTGGGAGGGGTGGGAGGGGTGGGAGGGGTGGGAGGAGTGGGAGGAGTGGGAGGAGTGGGAGGAGTGGGAGGGGTGGGGGTGGAGTGGGAGGAGTGGGAGGAGTGGGAGGAGTGGGAGGGGTGGGAGGAGTGGGAGGAGTGGGAGGAGTGGGAGGGGTGGGAGGGTGGGAGGAGTGGGAGGGGTGGGAGGGGTGGGAGGGGTGGGAGGGGTGGGAGGAGTGGGAGGGGTGGGAGGGGTGGGAGGGTGGGAGGGGTGGGAGGGTGGGAGGGGTGGGAGGGGTGGGAGGAGTGGGAGGGGTGGGAGGAGTGGGAGGAGTGGGAGGAGTGCTGAGCTTTCCGCACTTATTTGAGTTGAGTCCAGATCTGTATCATGGACAGGTAACACCCAGGTCACTCGCCACAGCAGCAGCAGCTTCCCGCGGGCAAGACGGGCAGGACGGGCTGGACGGGCTGGACGGGCAGGACGGTTAGGACGGGCAGGACGGGCTGGACGGGCTGGACGGGCAGGACGGGCAGGACGGGCTGGACGGGCAGGACGGGCAGGACGGGCAGGACGGGCAGGACGGTTAGGACGGGCAGGACGGGCAGGACGGTTAGGACGGTTAGGACGGGCAGGACGGGCAGGACGGGCAGGACGGTTAGGACGGGCAGGACGGTTAGGACGGGCAGGACGGTTAGGACGGGCAGGACGGTTAGGACGGGCAGGACGGGCAGGACGGTTAGGACGGGCAGGACGGGCAGGACGGGCAGGACGGGCAGGACGGCAGGACGGGCAGGACGGGCAGGACGGTTAGGACGGGCAGGACGGTTAGGACGGGCAGGACGGGCAGGACGGTTAGGACGGGCAGGACGGGCAGGACGGTCAGGACGGGCAGGACGGGCAGGACGGTTAGGACGGTTAGGACGGGCAGGACGGGCAGGACGGTTAGGACGGGCAGGACGGGCAGGACGGGCAGGACGGGCAGGACGGTTAGGACGGGCAGGACGGGCAGGACGGGCAGGACGGTTAGGACGGGCAGGACGGTTAGGACGGGCAGGACGGGCAGGACGGGCAGGACGGGCAGGACGGTTAGGACGGGCAGGACGGTTAGGACGGGCAGGACGGTTAGGACGGGCAGGACGGTTAGGACGGTTAGGACGGGCAGGACGGGCAGGACGGGCAGGACGGTTAGGACGGGCAGGACGGGCAGGACGGGCAGGACGGTTAGGACGGGCAGGACGGGCAGGACGGGCAGGACGGGCAGGACGGTTAGGACGGGCAGGACGGTTAGGACGGGCAGGACGGTTAGGACGGGCAGGACGGGCAGGACGGTTAGGACGGGCAGGACGGTTAGGACGGTTAGGACGGGCAGGACGGGCAGGACGGGCAGGACGGGCAGGACGGTTAGGACGGGCAGGACGGGCAGGACGGGCAGGACGGTTAGGACGGGCAGGACGGTTAGGACGGGCAGGACGGTTAGGACGGGCAGGACGGTTAGGACGGTTAGGACGGTTAGGACGGGCAGGACGGGCAGGACGGGCAGGACGGGCAGGACGGGCAGGACGGGCAGGACGGGCAGGACGGTTAGGACGGGCAGGACGGGCAGGACGGGCAGGACGGTTAGGACGGGCAGGACGGGCAGGACGGTTAGGACGGGCAGGACGGGCAGGACGGGCAGGACGGTTAGGACGGTTAGGACGGTTAGGACGGGCAGGACGGTTAGGACGGGCAGGACGGTTAGGACGGGCAGGACGGGCAGGACGGGTTAGGACGGGCAGGACGGGCAGGACGGTTAGGACGGTTAGGACGGGCAGGACGGGCAGGACGGGCAGGACGGGCAGGACGGGCAGGACGGTTAGGACGGGCAGGACGGTTAGGACGGGCAGGACGGTTAGGACGGGCAGGACGGGCAGGACGGGAAGGACGGGCAGGACGGGCAGGACGGGCAGGACGGGCAGGACGGTTAGGACGGGCAGGACGGGCAGGACGGGCAGGACGGTCAGGACGGGCAGGACGGGCAGGACGGTTAGGACGGGCAGGACGGGCAGGACGGGCAGGACGGTTAGGACGGGCAGGACGGGCAGGACGGGCAGGACGGGCAGGACGGTTAGGACGGGCAGGACGGGCAGGACGGTTAGGACGGGCAGGACGGGCAGGACGGTTAGGACGGTTAGGACGGTTAGGACGGGCAGGACGGTTAGGACGGGCAGGACGGTTAGGACGGGCAGGACGGGCAGGACGGTTAGGACGGGCAGGACGGGCAGGACGGGCAGGACGGTTAGGACGGGCAGGACGGGCAGGACGGGCAGGACGGGCAGGACGGGCAGGACGGGCAGGACGGTTAGGACGGGCAGGACGGGCAGGACGGGCAGGACGGTTAGGACGGGCAGGACGGTTAGGACGGTTAGGACGGGCAGGACGGGCAGGACGGGCAGGACGGTTAGGACGGGCAGGACGGGCAGGACGGGCAGGACGGTCAGGACGGTCAGGACGGGTAGGACGGTTAGGACGGGCAGGACGGGCAGGACGGGCAGGACGGGCAGGACGGGCAGGACGGGCTGGACGGGCAGGACGGGCAGGACGGGCAGGACGGGCAGGACGGGCAGGACGGGCAGGACGGGCTGGACGGGCTGGACGGGCTGGACGGGCAGGACGGGCAGGACGGGCAGGACGGTTAGGACGGTTAGGACGGGCAGGACGGGCAGGACGGGCAGGACGGGCAGGACGGTTAGGACGGGCAGGACGGGCAGGACGGGCAGGACGGTTAGGACGGGCAGGACGGGCAGGACGGTTAGGACGGGCAGGACGGTTAGGACGGGCAGGACGGTTAGGACAGTTAGGACGGGCAGGACGGGCAGGACGGGCAGGACGGGCAGGACGGTTAGGACGGTTAGGACGGGCAGGACGGGCAGGACGGTTAGGACGGGCAGGACGGGCAGGACGGGCAGGACGGGCAGGACGGGCAGGACGGGCTGGACGGGCAGGACGGGCAGGACGGGCAGGACGGGCAGGACGGGCTGGACGGGCAGGACGGGCAGGACGGGCAGGACGGGCAGGACGGTTAGGACGGTTAGGACGGGCAGGACGGGCAGGACGGTTAGGACGGGCAGGACGGGCAGGACGGGCAGGACGGGCAGGACGGTTAGGACGGGCAGGACGGGCAGGACGGGCAGGACGGTTAGGACGGGCAGGACGGGCAGGACGGGCAGGACGGTTAGGACGGGCAGGACGGTTAGAGGACGGGCAGGACGGGCAGGACGGTTAGGACGGTTAGGACGGGCAGGACGGGCAGGACGGGCAGGACGGGCAGGACGGGCTGGACGGGCAGGACGGGCAGGACGGGCAGGACGGGCTGGACGGGCAGGACGGGCAGGACGGGCAGGACGGGCAGGACGGGCTGGACGGGCAGGACGGGCAGGACGGGCAGGACGGCAGGACGGTTAGGACGGTTAGGACGGGCAGGACGGGCAGGACGGGCAGGACGGGCAGGACGGTTAGGACGGTTAGGACGGGCAGGACGGGCAGGACGGTTAGGACGGGCAGGACGGGCAGGACGGGCAGGACGGGCAGGACGGGCTGGACGGGCAGGACGGGCAGGACGGGCAGGACGGGCAGGACGGGCTGGACGGGCAGGACGGGCAGGACGGGCAGGACGGGCAGGACGGTTAGGACGGTTAGGACGGGCAGGACGGGCAGGACGGTTAGGACGGGCAGGACGGGCAGGACGGGCAGGACGGGCAGGACGGTTAGGACGGGCAGGACGGGCAGGACGGGCAGGACGGTTAGGACGGGCAGGACGGGCAGGACGGGCAGGACGGTTAGGACGGGCAGGACGGTTAGGACGGGCAGGACGGGCAGGACGGTTAGGACGGTTAGGACGGGCAGGACGGGCAGGACGGGCAGGACGGGCAGGACGGGCTGGACGGGCAGGACGGGCAGGACGGGCAGGACGGGCTGGACGGGCAGGACGGGCAGGACGGGCAGGACGGGCAGGACGGGCTGGACGGGCAGGACGGGCAGGACGGGCAGGACGGGCAGGACGGTTAGGACGGTTAGGACGGGCAGGACGGTTAGGACGGTTAGGACGGGCAGGACGGGCAGGACGGTTAGGACGGGCAGGACGGGCAGGACGGGCAGGACGGGCAGGACGGGCAGGACGGTCAGGACGGGCAGGACGGGCAGGACGGTTAGGACGGTTAGGACGGGCAGGACGGTTAGGACGGGCAGGACGGGCAGGACGGTTAGGACGGTTAGGACGGGCAGGACGGGCAGGACGGGCAGGACGGGCTGGACGGGCAGGACGGGCAGGACGGGCTGGACGGGCAGGACGGGCAGGACGGGCAGGACGGGCTGGACGGGCAGGACGGGCAGGACGGGCAGGACGGGCAGGACGGTTAGGACGGTTAGGACGGGCAGGACGGGCAGGACGGTTAGGACGGGCAGGACGGGCAGGACGGGCAGGACGGGCAGGACGGTTAGGACGGGCAGGACGGGCAGGACGGGCAGGACGGGCAGGACGGTTAGGACGGGCAGGACGGGCAGGACGGGCAGGACGGTTAGGACGGGCAGGACGGTTAGGACGGGCAGGACAGTTAGGACGGGCAGGACGGTTAGGACGGTTAGGACGGGCAGGACGGGCAGGACGGGCAGGACGGTTAGGACGGGCAGGACGGTTAGGACGGGCAGGACGGGCAGGACGGGCAGGACGGGCAGGACGGTTAGGACGGTTAGGACGGGCAGGACGGTTAGGACGGGCAGGACGGGCAGGACGGGCAGGACGGTTAGGACGGGCAGGACGGGCAGGACGGGCAGGACGGTTAGGACGGGCAGGACGGTTAGGACGGTTAGGACGGGCAGGACGGGCAGGACGGGCAGGACGGTTAGGACGGGCAGGACGGTTAGGACGGGCAGGACGGTTAGGACGGGCAGGACGGTTAGGACGGTTAGGACGGGCAGGACGGGCAGGACGGGCAGGACGGGCAGGACGGTTAGGACGGGCAGGACGGGCAGGACGGGCAGGACGGTTAGGACGGGCAGGACGGGCAGGACGGGCAGGACGGGCAGGAGGCGAGCAGGACGGGCAGGACGGGCAGGACGGTTAGGACGGGCAGGACGGTTAGGACGGGCAGGACGGGCAGGACGGTTAGGACGGGCAGGACGGTTAGGACGGTTAGGACGGTTAGGACGGGCAGGACGGGCAGGACGGGCAGGACGGGCAGGACGGTTAGGACGGGCAGGACGGGCAGGACGGGCAGGACGGGCAGGACGGTTAGGACGGGCAGGACGGTTAGGACGGGCAGGACGGTTAGGACGGTTAGGACGGGCAGGACGGGCAGGACGGGCAGGACGGGCAGGACGGGCAGGACGGTTAGGACGGGCAGGACGGGCAGGACGGGGCAGGACGGTTAGGACGGGCAGGACGGGCAGGACGGGCAGGACGGGCAGGACGGGCAGGACGAGCAGGACGGGCAGGACGGTTAGGACGGGCAGGACGGTTAGGACGGGCAGGACGGGCAGGACGGTTAGGACGGGCAGGACGGTTAGGACGGTTAGGACGGGCAGGACGGGCAGGACGGGCAGGACGGGCAGGACGGTTAGGACGGGCAGGACGGGCAGGACGGGCAGGACGGTTAGGACGGGCAGGACGGTCAGGACGGTTAGGACGGGCAGGACGGTTAGGACGGTTAGGACGGGCAGGACGGGCAGGACGGGCAGGACGGGCAGGACGGTTAGGACGGGCAGGACGGGCAGGACGGTTAGGACGGGCAGGACGGGCAGGACGGTTAGGACGGGCAGGACGGGCAGGACGGTTAGGAACGGGCAGGACGGGCAGGACGGTTAGGACGGGCAGGACGGTTAGGACGGGCAGGACGGTTAGGACGGGCAGGACGGGCAGGACGGGCAGGACGGTTAGGACGGGCAGGACGGGCAGGACGGTTAGGACGGGCAGGACGGGCAGGACGGTTAGGACGGGCAGGACGGTTAGGACGGTTAGGACGGGCAGGACAGGGGCAGGACGGGCAGGACGGGCAGGACGGTTAGGACGGGCAGGACGGTTAGGACGGGCAGGACGGTTAGGACGGGCAGGACGGGCAGGACGGGAAGGACGGGCAGGACGGGCAGGACGGGCAGGACGGGCAGGACGGTTAGGACGGGCAGGACGGGCAGGACGGGCAGGACGGTCAGGACGGTTAGGACGGGCAGGACGGTTAGGACGGGCAGGACGGGCAGGACGGGCAGGACGGGCAGGACGGGCAGGACGGGCAGGACGGTTAGGACGGGCAGGACGGGCAGGACGGGCAGGACGGTTAGGACGGGCAGGACGGGCAGGACGGGCAGGACGGGCAGGACGGTTAGGACGGGCAGGACGGGCAGGACGGTTAGGACGGGCAGGACGGTTAGGACGGGCAGGACGGTTAGGACGGGCAGGACGGTTAGGACGGTTAGGACGGGCAGGACGGGCAGGACGGGCAGGACGGGCAGGACGGGCAGGACGGGCAGGACGGGCAGGACGGGCAGGACGGTTAGGACGGGCAGGACGGGCAGGACGGTTAGGACGGGCAGGACGGTCAGGACGGTTAGGACGGGCAGGACGGTTAGGACGGTTAGGACGGGCAGGACGGGCAGGACGGGCAGGACGGGCAGGACGGGCAGGACGGTTAGGACGGGCAGGACGGGCAGGACGGTTAGGACGGGCAGGACGGGCAGGACGGTTAGGACGGGCAGGACGGGCAGGACGGTTAGGACGGGCAGGACGGGCAGGACGGTTAGGACGGGCAGGACGGTTAGGACGGGCAGGACGGTTAGGACGGGCAGGACGGGCAGGACGGTTAGGACGGGCAGGACGGGCAGGACGGTTAGGACGGGCAGGACGGGCAGGACGGTTAGGACGGGCAGGACGGTTAGGACGGTTAGGACGGGCAGGACGGGCAGGACGGGCAGGACGGGCAGGACGGGCAGGACGGTTAGGACGGGCAGGACGGTTAGGACGGGCAGGACGGTTAGGACGGGCAGGACGGGCAGGACGGGAAGGACGGGCAGGACGGGCAGGACGGGCAGGACGGGCAGGACGGTTAGGACGGGCAGGACGGGCAGGACGGGCAGGACGGTCAGGACGGTTAGGACGGGCAGGACGGTTAGGACGGGCAGGACGGGCAGGACGGGCAGGACGGGCAGGACGGGCAGGACGGTTAGGACGGGCAGGACGGGCAGGACGGGCAGGACGGTTAGGACGGGCAGGACGGGCAGGACGGGCAGGACGGTTAGGACGGGCAGGACGGGCAGGACGGTTAGGACGGGCAGGACGGTTAGGACGGGCAGGACGGTTAGGACGGGCAGGACGGTTAGGACGGGCAGGACGGGCAGGACGGGCAGGACGGGCAGGACGGGCAGGACGGGCAGGACGGTTAGGACGGGCAGGACGGGCAGGACGGTTAGGACGGGCAGGACGGTTAGGACGGGCAGGACGGGCAGGACGGGCAGGACGGGCAGGACGGGCAGGACGGTTAGGACGGGCAGGACGGGCAGGACGGTTAGGACGGGCAGGACGGTTAGGACGGGCAGGACGGGCAGGACGGGCAGGACGGGCAGGACGGGCAGGACGGTTAGGACGGTTAGGACGGGCAGGACGGGCAGGACGGTTAGGACGGGCAGGACGGTTAGGACGGTTAGGACGGGCAGGACGGGCAGGACGGGCAGGACGGGCAGGACGGGAAGGACGGGCAGGACGGGCAGGACGGGAAGGACGGGCAGGACGGGCAGGACGGGCAGGACGGGCAGGACGGTTAGGACGGGCAGGACGGGCAGGACGGTTAGGACGGGCAGGACGGTTAGGACGGGCAGGACGGTTAGGACGGGCAGGACGGTTAGGACGGTTAGGACGGGCAGGACGGGCAGGACGGGCAGGACGGGCAGGACGGGCAGGACGGGCAGGACGGTTAGGACGGTTAGGACGGGCAGGGACGGGCAGGACGGGCAGGACGGGCAGGACGGGCAGGACGGGCAGGACGGTTAGGACGGTTAGGACGGGCAGGACGGGCAGGACCGGTTAGGACGGTTAGGACGGGCAGGACGGGCAGGACGGGCAGGACGGGCAGGACGGGCAGGACGGGCTGGACGGTTAGGACGGGCAGGACGGCAGGACGGTTAGGACGGGCAGGACGGTTAGGACGGGCAGGACGGGCAGGACGGTTAGGACGGTTAGGACGGGCTGGACCGGCAGGACGGGCTGGACGGCAGGACGGTTAGGACGGGCAGGACGGCAGGACGGTTAGGACGGGCAGGACGGGCAGGACGGTTAGGACGGGCAGGACGGCAGGACGGTTAGGACGGGCAGGACGGGCAGGACGGCAGGACGGTTAGGACGGGCAGGACGGGCAGGACGGTTAGGACGGGCAGGACGGTTAGGACGGGCTGGACGGGCAGGACGGGCTGGACGGTTAGGACGGGCAGGACGGGCAGGACGGGCTGGACGGCAGGACGGTTAGGACGGGCAGGACGGGCAGGACGGTTAGGACGGGCAGGACGGCAGGACGGTTAGGACGGGCAGGACGGGCAGGACGGGCAGGACGGGCAGGACGGTTAGGACGGGCAGGACGGGCAGGACGGTTAGGACGGGCAGGACGGGCTGGACGGTTAGGACGGGCAGGACGGGCAGGACGGGCAGGATGAATGTGTCGAGTCAAGTTGGAGACAACGGACATCTGCTTTCTATGGCCATGTGTACCTGCAGGTTAAAGCCAGATACGGTCAGACCTCTGCAGCTAAGCGGGGCAGGGCCTGGTTAATACTGTGATGGGAGACCTCTGGGAACAGCAGGTGCCACAATGGGGCGGCTGCGGCTGTAAAGTGCCAAACTGTGGTTGTGTCCTTAGGCAAGACACTTCCCCCACATTAGAATGATGTGTGTGTGAGTGGTTGGTGGTGGCACAGACTGGTTGCCTCGCTTCTGTTCATTTTTTATTAGTTCTTTTTAAATTGTGATACATTTAGCCAATTTTTAGCTTGTTTTTCATCAGTTTTTGCAGTGTACTATCACAATTCTACTACAGAAACATTCGCTAAAAATGAAAACAAAAAAAACCCCACAGATTCATGATACAACATTATTAATTCCAAAACTGAAACCATTGAAACTTCCCTCTGGTTTATCGAGTTGAAAGTGTGTCTGGTCTGAGGAAGCAGACGGAGCCTTGAGTCAAGAGTCTCTCACCTCCTACTTCACAATCTGCGACTCTGCAGCTGCCAGGACCGACGCCTTCTCACCCCGAGAACTTACCAACACATGTCCCACGAGGAGGATCCAGAACGCCACGGTCACATACGGCCGACACATGAGCCATTTCAACCATCTACAAGACCAACGGAGACCAGGAACATCTGAATACTACGTCTGCTGGGACTTATTTAGGCACTTGATGTTGTTGATATGACTTAAAATAGCCCAAGTCCAGGATCAGAACCAGTCCAAGTCCAAGTCCAGGACCAGAGCCAGTGCAGGATCAGCACCAGTCTAAGTCCAAGTCAAAGTCCAAGTCAAAGTCCAAGATCAGAACCAGTCCAAGTCCAGGACCAGAACCAGTCCAAGTCACACGGGTGCACACTGGGGTAGTCTTGCACGGTTTTTCCAATGTGGTTTTACTGCAAATGGCAAATAAATGAATCTGAATCTGAATCTGAAGTCCAGGACCAGAACCTGTCCAGGACCAGAACCAGTCCAGGACCAGAACCAGGACCAGAACCAGTCCAGCAACCAAAAATGGCTGCTACTGCTACATAAAGTAAAACAGGGTATTTTCATACAACAACACAAATAAACCACAAACTACACATAGACAGAAGTCACAAAGTCATTCCCAAACAAACAGCCACCAAATCCACTGCTCTGAGAGTTCTAGCAAAATAAAATAACAAATTAGTTTACAAATGCTGGAATCGAGTGGTTTTTATCTTAATCTGACACATTCTGACTGTGATAAAACAAGATTCTCCAACGGGACAAAACTATTTAGTCTTAATTCAAGAACTGTGGCTTTATCTCCTCATTCCAAGAGAGACATTTCTGTATCTTTTTAAAACAAGATAATTTTGCTTTGTCCCGTTGGAGAATCTAGTTTTAAGGCTCAGTCTGAACGTGCTGAAAATACAACACATTTAGCCAAATTTGAGCAATTTTTGACTTATAGAGAGAGAGCAGTGAGAGACTAGAGAGAGATCAGAGAGAGAGCGGAGAGAGACCAGAGAGAGAGAGACCAGAGAGAGAGAGAGACCAGAGAGAGACCAGAGAGAGACCAGAGAGAGACCAGAGAGAGAGAGACCAGAGAGAGAGAGAGACCAGAGAGAGACCAGAGAGAGACCAGAGAAAGACCAGACAGAGACCAGATAGAGACCAGAGAGAGACCAGAGAGAGACCAGAGAAAGACTAGAGAGAGACCAGAGAGAGACCAGAGAGAGACCAGAGAGAGGCCAGAGAGAGACCAGAGAAAGACCAGAGAGAGACCAGAGAGAGAGACCAGAGAGAGAGACCAGAGAGAGACCAGAGAGAGACCAGAGAGAGAGAGAGACCAGAGAGAGACCAGAGAAAGACCAGAGAGAGACCAGAGAGAGACCAGAGAGAGGCCAGAGAGAGACCAGAGAAAGACCAGAGAGAGACCAGAAAGAGAGACTAGAGAGAGGCCAGAGAGAGACCAGAGAAAGACCAGAGAGAGACCAGAGAGAGAGACCAGAGAGAGGCCAGAGAGAGACCAGAGAGAGACCAGAGAGAGACCAGAGAGAGAGACCAGAGAGAGAGACTAGAGAGAGACCAGAGAGAGAGACTAGAGAGAGACCAGAGAGAGGCCAGAGAGAGACCAGAGAGAGACCAGAGAGAGACCAGAGAGAGACCAGAGAGAGAGACCAGAGAGAGAGACCAGAGAGAGAGACCAGAGAGAGACCAGAGAAAGACCAGAGAGAGACCAGAGAGAGAGACCAGAGAGAGACACCAGAGAGAGACCAGAGAGAGACCAGAGAGAGAGACCAGAGAGAGAGACCAGAGAGAGAGACCAGAGAGAGACCAGAGAGAGACCAGAGAGAGGCCAGAGAGAGACCAGAGAAAGACCAGAGAGAGACCAGAGAGCCTGCGGTCTGTAGGCGGACATCCAGCCTCTGATGTGCCTCCAGGAGCCGGGCTCTCGGTGCTCGGGCTCTCGGTGCAGTGGGAGGCTGGTGTGATGCACAGCAGGGACATGAGCGCTGCTAAATGACAGGCTTTCAGGGGACGCCACGCAGAGCCCGGAGCCACCAGAGAAAAGAGCACTCCACAAATAGCACAAACGAGATTCTAAGTCGTTATCCAGACTCTGCAGAAGGAAGAGAGGTGTGGGGCATCAGCTGCATACATACAATTCAATTCTTTATTCTTAATCTTAATCTTAATCTGATTTTAATCAATTCAATGTAATGTAGTTTTGTATAGTCCTAAATCACATAAAGTAGAGACCAGAGACCAGAGAAACAGCAGAGAGAGACCAGAGAGAGACCAGAGAGAGACCAGAGAGAGAGACCAGAGAGAGAGACCAGAGAGAGAGACCAGAGAGAGAGACCAGAGAGAGGCCAGAGAGAGACCTGAGAGCGACCAGAGAGAGACCAGAGAGAGACCAGAGAGAGACCTGAGAGCGACCAGAGAGAGACCAGAGAGAGACCAGAGAGAGGCCAGAGAGAGACCAGAGAGAGGCCAGAGAGAGACCAGAGAGAGACCAGAGACCAGCGAGAGACCAGAGAGAGACCAGAGAGAGACCAGAGAGAGGCCAGAGAGAGACCAGAGAGAGACCAGAGACAGACCAGAGAGAGACCAGAGAGAGGCCAGAGAGAGACCAGAGACCAGCGAGAGACCAGAGAGAGACCAGAGAGAGACCAGAGAGAGACCAGAGAGAGACCAGAGAGAGACCAGAGAGAGACCAGAGAGAGGCCAGAGAGAGACCAGAGAGAGGCCAGAGAGAGACCAGAGAGAGACCAGAGACCAGCGAGAGACCAGAGAGAGACCAGAGAGAGACCAGAGAGAGGCCAGAGAGAGACCAGAGAGAGACCAGAGACAGACCAGAGAGAGACCAGAGAGAGGCCAGAGAGAGACCAGAGACCAGCGAGAGACCAGAGAGAGACCAGAGAGAGACCAGAGAAAAACACCAGAGAGAGACCAGAGAGAGAGAACAGAGAGAGACCAGAGAGAGACCAGAGAGAGAGACCAGAGAGAGACCAGAGAGAGAGACCAGAGAGAGACCAGAGAGAGACCAGAGAGAGACCAGAGAGAGAGACCAGAGAGAGACCAGAGAAAGACCAGAGAAAAACAGCAGAGAGAGACCAGAGAGAGACCAGAGACCAGCGAGAGACCAGAGAGAGACCAGAGAGAGACCAGAGAGAGGCCAGAGAGAGACCAGAGAGAGACCAGAGACAGACCAGAGAGAGACCAGAGAGAGACCAGAGAGAGACCAGAGACCAGCGAGAGACCAGAGAGAGACCAGAGAGAGACCAGAGAGAGGCCAGAGAGAGACCAGAGAGAGACCAGAGACAGACCAGAGAGACCAGAGAGAGACCAGAGACCAGCGAGAGACCAGAGACAGACCAGAGAGAGACTAGAGAGAGGCCAGAGAGAAACAGCAGAGAGACCCACACACACACACTCTTCTTCTCTCATAGTTAAGAAACCGTCGCTCTGCTGACCTGCCATCTGTGACCGCTCAGAACCCTCTAACCCCACGGAAAAACACCACGGTTATAAATTAGGCAAAAGTATGTGTGTAAAAGCAGTCGGGCCTGGGTTCCTGGTTCACACTCCCTCCACACGTCACATGTCCTGGGTTACATAAGGACCATGCCACTAATAATGTAACTGTAGGGCTGGGGTTTGGGAGGCTGCAGAAACGCTGAGGCAGGAGGTTTAAAGCTGGGGTCTGAATATTTACAGTCTCTGGTCCGGACTATGGGTCTGTTCTCTCAGTGACAGAGAGAGACCGGCCAAAACACACGGCTTTGTAGCAGCTGTAAACAAAACGTTGGCCTGTGTAGAGGTTATTAAGGTGAATTTGCATAAACCGTTTGTAGATTATGAAACTAAACTGTGCTTTTATTTGACTAATAAAACCGCTGCGTTCATGATATCAATCGTTTCCACTGGTTTGGTTTCTAATAGTTCAGCTTCTGTATCTGAGGTGCTCTCTCTCTCTCTCTCTGGTCTATCCATGGGCCTATCTCTCTGGTCTCTCCCTCTCTGGTTTCTCTCTGGTCTATCCATGGGCCTATCTCTCTCGCTCTCTCTGGTCTCTCTTTCTGCTCTCAGCTCTCTCTCTCTGGTTTATCTCTGGTCTCTCTCTGATCTCTCTCTCTCTCTGGTCTCTCTCTCTGGTCTCTCTCTCTGGTTGGGGTGGAGCAAGAGTAAGAAAGCAGCGAGACTCACTGCTCATGTACTTCCTAATTTAAAATCTCTTAGGCCAAGTTTATTTGTATAGCACAGTTCATTCACAAAGCAACTCAAAGTGCCGAAGAAAACAAGATTGAAATAGAAATAACCAGAGCACATTAAAAAGAATAAAGATAAAATCGGCTAAACACAGCTGTTTTTAACCTGGATTTGAACCTTGTCAGAGAAGAACCCTGTCTCACATTTTCAGGAAGACTGCTCTAGGGTTTAGGAAGCATCTGAAATGCTGCCTCTGCATGTTTAGTGACTGTGGGGACCAGCAGGAGACCAGTCCCTGTGCTCCTCAGAGTCCCAGCAGGAGACCAGCCCCCAATTCAATGTATGTTTGTATAGATTTGCCAACGCAGATCAGAGAATCAAACAGTTGAACACAAGAATTGCAGTGATAAAAACACATAGCGCCGTCGGTCCATAAATGTTTATAAAAATGCATATCTTTCTAGGCTTGTTGCCGTGGCTACAGCAGCAGTGGGTCCCGGTGGAGGCGGAGGCGGGTCACATCGCTCCCGTCAGCTGTGGTTTTTAGGCTGTTGGCAGATCTCGTTTGTGCTTGACCTACTTCTGGTCCCTGGAGAGAGGTGGAGGAATAAACACAACGACTACTTTCCAGAAACATGGACTTTTCCACATGCCGTGCTCCCAGTTACCCATCACCACAGACAGGAACTTCACACCGGGCAACAAAAAGTTGGATAAGATTAGAAAAGTTGGATTTGTCCCACGATGGAAAAAAGTTCAGTCTAGTAATGTACATGGAATAATGGAAAAGCAAAACATTTATTTTTTTATTTGATTTGATAATTGGGGCACTGAACGACCTCAACAGAGCTCTCCAATCTGTCATTTAAAAACCCATTGAGCTTCATTGAATTTTGAACGGTTGA